GCAGAAGAGATCACAGGCAAAAGATTTTCTCTTTTGACTCATCCACTTTTTGTTGAACAGCTAGAATTACGTTAGTGATTGCTTTGCAGTCTTTCACTGATTATGTCAAATGCCACTTTTTTTCACGAGTTCAGTATTTTGTTCTTGGTGTTGATGGCTTCTAAGGGGAGTTCCGTAATTTTGCAAAGTCCAGTGACTAAGTCCACCTTTTTAGTTAAGAAGAGTGATTTATTCCAGGCTTGTGATTTTTATTTCTGTTTCAGAGTATCAGATGAGTAAATGCCAATATGCATCCCCTTCTGAAAATGAAGGGGAAGCTGTGTTTCTGAGCATGTAGATGTAGCACGTAAACTAGACACAACAGTAATAATGACAAGCTTAGGTCATTAGAAATTGGAATTAATAGAAACGAGCTATCTTTAGTTTAACAGATTTAACAAGTTTTGTTATTTTCCAAGCAATGGTGAGAACAGTCAAATGAACAGATGTACAACTGATACTAGTGGACAGTAAGTAAGCAGAGAAATTATATAGAGACTTGCAAATGAATCATACAATGAAACTGTGTATACTGTATGAAAGGAGAACAGAGCTCAGAGTCTTCAGATTTAAGCTGTTGGACAGCTGTCAGATCTGCAATAGTTTTGCTAGCAGTACACCCGTGCTACAGTCCTTGTCCAACTGGATAAGCCAATGCATCTCCCTGGAGAAATCAATTTATGATGGCTTGAAGGATCAGCTATAAGAACTTACACAACTCCTCTTTTCATAATCAAGAATTCCATAAAAGATCACTTCCCAACTTACACTTCAAGTTCCTTAAAAGTTAGAGTAAAACAGACCTTATACAACGAAGATGTAGCATATGCATTTTATCTAGATACCTTCCTGAAGTTGTCTGCAAGAACACAAGAAATATTTCATGAAGCACAATAAAAAAACCCCACGTGCACATCTGGCATAGTTTGGAGCACATCTGGTGTAGTTTGGAACAGCTGATGATATTACAGCTGTCTCATTTTGGTTTGCTTAAAGCCTTACACTGTGGTGGTTCAGCAGCTGACCAGCAGCTGAATTCAGGCACAAGGGGTGAAGGACAACTGGAATCATGAACTTCTTCAGCCCTCCCAGGACCATTCGTGATTCAGAGCCTGCAGAGTAGGGCTGTAAGGGAATTTATCACCTCGTTATCTTTGGCAAGCGTTACTTTGAAAGTAGTGGCTGGGAAGACTTTCACTGAACACGGACTTCCTGAACTTGCTTCTTCCAAACTTCTTGCTTCTAGTGAAAGGCTGCATTGGGTGGTGAAGTCCAAGACTTCTCTGGGTCATAGTCACAGCAGGGCTACCAACAAGTCCAGTTTTCTTAAAGCACATTAAGTTCTGCCATCTGATAACTCATAGCAATTAATCAACTGACTCTTCAGAATTGTTCCCAGCCATGGACTAATAAATAAATCACGCACATTCTGTCCAGGAGGACTGAACTTTGAATCTTGATGACTTTTAATTCACTTTCCTTGAATTCATGTATAAAATATGATTAATATATAATGCAGATTTTTTTTTTTTTTTACCTGCTCTCCCTCGGTAATAATTTGAGAGTGGTTTCTCTCACCTCTTTTAAGCTTAGGCAGGCTGATTTTCCTCTTTTTATGCTATTTCCATTTGGCTTGACAGGACAAACTATTTGGCAGGACAAACTTTCTGCTCTTTCATGACCTAGTTTGGGATTAGAAACCTGGAATAAAACTAGTTATTTCTAATCAGCTAGAACCAGTGGTAAATGGAAGAGACATATCTTTCTTGTACCTTGCAGATTATAATTGATCAGTTTCATTGCTCAGTGTTTATAAAACAAAGCTTCCACACTTTGACCCCAACAATGCTTGGGCTGCCTCAACAGATTTATGTGGAGACTTCTGGCAGGATGTAAAAAATGTGCCAGATATGGCTTGAAAAATAATGTCCTCTCCATTTGCAGAAAGGTATAATCATAACATTTTAGTAATATTACTGGAAAAATCCCATATAACCCTGCATAATCTGACCAGAAAAACAACTGAGGATGCGTAAAATGTCACCAAATCTTACTGTAACAAATATATCAATTGAAACTCAATTACAAAAAAAAAAAAAAAAAGTAATTACCATATTAACCCTAAACTTTAAAAGTCCAATAATCCATTTTACACTCTAATCAATATGTCATTAGCTTGCGAATAGGAAGAATATTTTACTGTTAATTGCTCCTTACTTGTTCCAGTATGCCTCTAACCCGAAGTAAAGTTAAATCTTAAGAGGATGATTATTCCTATGTGTGACTTCAGAGTAGAGCCAATATTCATCTCAGTTATGTGGCTGTATGAAGTATGGTTGTCATACCATACGTATGTCTATATGTATTTGAATTACAAGGTTTTCTGTACGGAAAGGTGCTTACCTTGTGCCAGCTTTCGGTCTTACCCAGCCTTTCTTTGAGCCTATTCAAATCACTAAAATTGAAGAAAACAGAAGCAGCCAAACAAGGGTAGTTTCCTGTGGAGCTGCTAAACTGAATGGGCTCAGAGAAAGATCTGATGGGTGCCAGAATTGGTGGAAGTATGAGGCAGAGCCTTGGAGCTGACAATGAAGGCACAGATTGAAAGGAATATTAATGTTGGGTACAGATAGCTACTGAACTATACCCAAAATGTGATCACAGTTTCAACCAGGTATAAAAAAGAATTTTACTTCACTGTGAATGGCTTCTTAATTTAGTTAAGTACTGTGTTAATTATTAGTCCAAGGTGAAGAGAGACAACCACAGAATAAAAATAAGCTTCTCTCTTGAAATTTTGATGGATTTTCTTTTGTCTCTCTCTCACACTTTTTTCCTCTTTTTTTTTTTTTTTTTTTTTTTTTTTTTTCTACTTTACTACAGCTTATCCATTACACTGTGGCTATAGTCTGCTTTGTGCCTGACAGAGGCAGACCATGAAAATGCTATAATTAGCTAAAAATCACAATACTGGACTACAGCAACTGATGGACGCAAGCTTGGGATTTGTATTTAACTCTAATTATAGTGCAGTTGGCAATTTAGGGTGGGCAAACCTGATCCATCTTTAAATTAACTAATCCTAATGGAAACAGCCTAGTTACTACAACACAATTTAGTTGGCACAAGGTAATTTGCTTTTGCCATCATGGTCAGTGTGTTTCCACTGCGTCAGCAGTGTACGTGTATGCAGATTACTATGCACATACAGGCACACCCACCATCTATTTATGAATCCTATTTTACTTTGGCGACCATTGGATTATGTGCTAACCTTTATGCATGGTTAGCAGAACGTGAACCTTTTAGAAAGAAACTGATAGCGTGCTAGCAAGAATTCATTGCATAGCAAGAATGTGACACCTAGTGGATAGATGGCATTTGAGAAATATGACAGACTGTCAAGGAATACTGACATTAAATGACCCGATCAAGTAGAACAATGACTTTGCTATCAGAAAATACATTGATTTTGAATGACTCTATGCACAGGGCCAAAGTAATTGGGTGTTAGAAAGTCCTTACTGAAAGCTCAAAAGTGAAGAAGGTGTCAGAGAGCAGATGTCAAGCCAAGAAGGCCAGAGATCTCTGAAGACAGAAATCAAAGCCCACAAAGACATTGGTGGATACTGACAGGATGCAGTGGGACCAGAGATTTTCAACATGGAAAACTCAAGAATAAAGTGTTTTTTAAAGAATCCCTTTTGTTAAATCTATGTCCCTGTTATTGCTACATTATTTTTGCAGGAAGTGAGTTTTCACGGTCAGAGATACTGAGTGGTGAATAAACTATATGGTTAGGTCATTGAGAGCTGGACTAGACTGAGACATGGTTTAAAAGGTTTGACTAATACATCCTGCCCAAACTAGCTGATACTAATTGTGTCTGTTACTGCTCCATGCGGTGTGTAACACCTGGATTTCAAGTATTCACATTATCTCCATTTTCTGAGGTGCCTTGCTTCAAGGGCTATAAATAACAGAAAGCCTCAGTACCAGAGACATTTTGTTCCGGCTACAGAGTTTGACCCATACTTTTCATGGTAAAATGAAAACCATTACAAAATTTAAATGTGAATGTATTTCCAAATTTGCTGAAAAGTGTGTTTGTTCAATAATAGCCAGATGCTAGAAGAAGCTCCTCTGGCAGCTGTTACGTTCTGTGTTGGGTCTACACTCTGGCTCTAAAGAAACTCTAAAACCAGTGGCTTTTTCCTGCAGTCCCATTCTTGTGGACAAGCCCACATGAAGTCGCCTTGCAGGCTGCTTTGTTCTGGTCTAATTTTACGTGATAAGCCATTATGAACGTACCCTTAGTAGCTTAGTGGCAGCTGCTGTTAGGCAATGGGGTGTGCCCACATGGCATAAGCCACAAAGGCAAGCAACTTGAGGGCAGTGCTTTCTGGACTCTGGGAGACCATTTCTGTAGTCATTCCAGATCTGCAGGTATATCTAATTTGCAAGAAACATCAAAAGGCCTTAGTACTATCCAAAACAACAATAAAAAATATTCAGAGAGATGTATTTATTTTATATATATTATTTTGGCAAGCCCTGCAGGACAGTGAGCTGCTGTCTGCCGACCTGTTCAACTGTCCCTGTTGTGCATTTTGTTCTCCTCTGCTACAAGTGGCCGTGTTGGGAAGGAACTACGTTCTCCCTACAAAAATCTTGGAATCAAAATGGAATGATGTGGGAGTCAGCCTCTTCTCACAGGTGACAGGTGATGGGAATAGAGGGAACGGCCTCAAGTTGCGCCAGGGGAGGTTCGGGTTGGAAATGAGGGGAAATTTCTTCTCAGGAAGAGCGGTCAGGGGTTGGGACGGGTTGCCCAGGGAGGTGGTGGAGTCACCGTCCCTGGGGGCGTTCAGGGAGAGGCTGGACGTGGTGCTTGGGGACATGGTTTTGGTGGCACCGCCTCAGCCCTCCCGCGCCTGCTCCCTGAGCCGCCCCTGAGGCAGCGGTGGGCGGGAGCAGGGGCCGTGGACACGGCTCGGGGGAGGGCGCTCGGCCCCGCCCCGCCCCGCCCCGCGGATGTGGCGCCGGCAGCCGGCGGTGAGTGGGGAGGGGGCGGCCGCCGCCGCCGCCCGGCGGGGACCGGGGAGGGGGAGGGCGAGGGGGAGGAGCCGCCCCCTGCCCGCCCACAGCACGGCACCGGGGGGCACGGGAAGGGAAGGGAAGGGAAGGGAAGGGAAGGGAAGGGAAGGGAAGGGAAGGGAAGGGAAGGGAAGGGAAGGGAAGGGAAGGGAAGGGAAGGGAAGGGAAGGGGTCACGGCTCTCCCGGATCCAGCTGGCTGCGTCCCGCTGCTGAAACGCTAAATGCAGTGGTGGAAGAGGGCTTCGGCTGCCTTTCGGGTGGTGGTAGTAGGAAAGCTAAAAATAACGAGCGGCGTCCCGTAGCTGCTCGCCGCACCAAGCACGCTGATGCCAGCAATAAATGCTTAGCAATTATCTAATGCTTTTCATTTTTAACACACAGACCTTAAAAAGCCCCTTCAGAAGCTGCGATGTGCACAATGTAGCAAACATTTGGGATAAAATTGATTATAGGAAGTGATACTGCAAGGCGGAACGGCTGTCAAAACGCAGTGAATCACTGCCGTCGCGGTTGCAGTACATTATTGCCAATAACGTTGTCCTTCGTCTGACTCATCCTGCTTGTGCAGATGTGCATCTGAAATGTTTTTAAAATTCTAGTGTATTTCCTTTAAATACCTGCATGCCTAGGTTCAGAGCTAAAAATCTGCATGATTCTGTATATATGAGCTAGAAGGTGAAACTAACTTCTTTGCCTCAGTTTGCACTGCCAGTCAGGCTTCCCAAGCCCTTCATTTCCCTGAACCTGTAGATGGAGGGTGGGGAGCAAAGTCCCACCCACTGTAAGTAAAGAGCAGGTTCAAGATCACCTGCTGAAACTAAACAAGTACAGGTCTATGGGGCCTGATGCCATGCGTCCCAGGGTGCTGAGGGAACTGGCTGATGTAGTTGCCAAGCCTCTCTCTGTCACATTTGAAAAGTCCTGACAGTCAGGCAAAGTCCCTAGTGACTGGAAAAAAGGGAAAAAATATCACTCCCATTTTTAAAGAGGGTAGAAAGGAGGTCCCAGGGAACTACAGACTGGTGAGCCTCACCTCTGTGCCTGGGAAGATCATGGAAAAGATCCTTCTGGAAGCAGTGTCAAGGCACATGCAAGACAGAGGTGATCCAAGAAAGCCAGCGTGGCTTTACCAAGGAAAAATCATGCCTGGCCAATCTGGTGACTCACTCCTATGATGGAGTGAGTGACAGCATCAGTTGACAGGGGAAGATGACCAATGTCATCTACCTGGACTTCTATAAGGCCTTTGCCACGGTCCCACATGACATCCTGGTCTCCAAATTGGAGAGAGATGGATTTGAAGGGTGGCCCATTTGGTGGGTAAGGAGTTGGCTTGAAGCTTGCACACAGAGGGGGGTGGTCAATGGCTCTATGGCTAAGTGGAGGCTGGTGATGAGTGGTGTCCCTCAGGGGATTCTCCTGGGACTGGTGCTGTGTAATGTCTTTATCAGCGACCTAGACAGTGGGATCGAGTGCACCCTCAGCAAGTCTGCAGATAGCATCAAGCTGAGTGGTGCAGTTGATACACCAGAAGGAAGGGATGGCATCCAAAGGGACCTGGGCAAGCTGGAGAAGTGGGCCACGTGAACCTAAGGGGGTTCAGCAAGGCCAAGTGCAAGGTGCTGCACCTGCGTCGGGGCAATCCCAGACATGAGCACAGACTGGGAGAACTCAATGAGAGCAGCCCTGTAGAGAAGGATTTTTGGGCTCTGGTGGACAAAAGGCTTTACGTGAGCCAGCAGTGAGTGCTTGCAGCCCAGAAGGCCAACTGCATCCTGGGCTGCATCAACAGAGGGGTGGTGAGGGAGATGATTGTGCCCCTCTGCTCTGCCCTTGTGAGGGCCTCACCTGGAGTGCTGCATCCAGGTCTGGGGTCCCTGGCACCAGAAGGCTGTGTGGCTGTTAGAGAGGGTCCAGAGGAGGGCCATGAGGATGATTAAGGGGCTGGAGCACCTCCTATGAAGAAAGGCTGAGAGAGCTGGGGATGTTCAACCTAAAGAAGAGAAGGCTTCAGGCTGACCTCACTGTGGCTTTTCAATACTTAAAAGGGACTTATAAGATGCAGAGCGACTATTTGCTCAATCAGATAATGAAAAGACAAGGGGGAATGGTTTTAAACTAAGAGCGGGGAGATTTAGATTAGAGGTTAGGAGGAAATTTTTCACTCAGAGGTGGTGAGGCCCTGGCACAGGCTGCCCAGAGAAGCTGTGGATGCCCCATCCCTGGAGGTGCTCAAGGCCAGGCTGGATGGGGCTTTGGGCAGCCTGGGCTGGTGGGAGGTGTCCCTACACATGGCAGGGGGTTGGTACTGGATGATCTTTAAGGGCCCTTCCAACCCAAATCATTCTGTGATTCTATAATCTGTAGTAAATCATGTGAAATACTTAATGAAATACCGGGGATCGTGATTTCTCTATGGATCACACAAATAAAGCTGGGTTGTGAAAGCCAAGCTCTGTACTTTGGGGAACATACTTGGAAATTACATAATTTCACTCTTGGAACAGGAGAGAGAAAACTGCTTGATCAGAATAGGTAAAATCCTTTCTTCAGTGAAATTAGTAGCAGAAAAAAAAAGCAAAACTTTTCACTCTGTTTTAAATTCAGTTAATTCAGTTTGTGGTATTTTGGTTTTGTTCTCATTGGTTTGTGGGTTATTTCTGCCTAAATGGAGTAGGTTAATTACCAGATTTATCTTTTTATTTAAACACTGCTCTGTTGCTTTATGAAGCATCATATAACTATCACTGTAGAATTGTTTCTATAAAAATTGCATGGTCAACATAATTGCTCAGTTAGACGATTTAGATTATTCACGTACAAAGCTGTGCTGGTGCCCAGCACTATACAGCTGGACTTTGTCACAGAACCACTTGTCCTACAGCTTTCAGCAAGTCATTTAATTGCTCTGGGCGTAATCTATCTATCTGAATGGTAGGTGTCCTCATCCACTGAAGGTGTAGGTTTTCTTGGAATACTTGGTTAAAGTTTCACAAGCTTAACTGAGCAGGTATCTCTGTAAATGTATAATGTATTTCCATTCATAGCAGGAGAAGCTCATGTTAGGTAGCTGGCTGTCTGGTGTTGCAAGCTGTAGTTTTTAATTATAATTCTTCCTTATTACTTTCCTTTTGTTTATTTCTCTTCTTTCTCACCACCAATACTTTGCTATGTGTAGCAAAAAGTTTTCCTGCATGGAAAGTTTGACATACATGCCACCAAGGACTGGCAGTATCTCCCCAAGTGACAATCTGAGAGTTACTCAAGTGCCCCATAATGCGATTTTTAGTAGGCCCACAGAAATGAGCATCTGCCACTCTGCTAAGCACAGACACCTGTATCTCACTATGGTAAAGTTTTGCACTCTTTAGGCTGACACCAAACAGTATTTTTTTAAATAATGGCATTCTTGTTTTGTTTTTGTACTCAGCAAGTTCTTAAAAGATGAAGGAAAGCTGGTCTTCCGTGGATACTCTTGAGACAAACTTCAGGCCTCTGGTAGTAATTGAGCTTGCAAAAGGCACCAAAGAGGAAACCATAGAATGGTTCACTAAAAGAATAGTGGACAAAAAGGCAAATGGAGGTGAGTACAACATGGTCTTGTAGAACACTTTGCAATGGATTGGCTGTCATAATATTAAGACAAGCAGAAAATTAGTTTTCAGGTAACTTGTGATATAAGTAATTACTACTTAGCCTGTCCTACTCCCTTTTGCATTTTTGAAGTTGCTTAATTGGATTTAAGAATAGAATATTGATTTAAGGTCACATGCCTGTTGAAGTTTAGAAACCTTCTATTTTGGTTGTGAAACACTGGTATCCTCTTGTATTTTTTTAATCAGTTTTTATATTCATCTTCTACAGTGTGTTTCTCATGTTGATTATGAGAAAGCTGTGAACCTCACCAAAATGAAGATGCATCCCATCTACTATCCTGTCCACCAGCCTTGGCACCATATTGTAGAATTAAATTGAGTTAGCAGGAAGCAATTTAGTCTTGATAAATTTATGTTGGCTTTTAATTATCTTTTTGCTAGGTTGTAGATTCTTAGAATATTTCATTAGAATATTTCTTAGAATATTTCATTACTTGTTCCAATACATGTATGCTTCCAGGAATTAAAGTTAGGTTAATTTGTTTGTAATACCTTAGATTTTTTTTCTTTTATAAAGGCATTGTTTATGACTGTTCTAGTGTATATCTGATGGTTGGTAAACTTTCTGTGGCTACAAACTTGCTTTCAGGCCTCTGTTAGGGAAGTCAGGGATGTGTCTGTTTCAAAAGTCTCCTTAAAATGAGTGGGACTGTTTGCAGAAGTGCTGATCGCTTATGTGATGCAAGCTGTACAGGTATAGATCCAAACTGTCCTCATTCTTCCAATTCCTTGTCCGTGAGCACTCCACAGAAACAGTGCTAAAGCAGAGGGTGAGCTGCAAGATTCTGAGCACCATTTGGGTGCTGAAAAAGCTTTCATTCTTCATGCCTTTGAAAAGATAAAGCTTCAGTGCTCCTGATGAGTAGGTCCAGTATGATGTATGCTATGACATTGGGTTTTTAGATATAATTTTTGTCTAAAAATTATGTCACACCTATTTTTCTCACACTTATTTTTTACTTTAAAGGCGCACAACTTCTGATTAAACCATTGGTCACAGAAAATGGAAATGAAAATATTTATCTGGTTGGAGCTTCCCACTTAAGGCTCTTGCTGGGAGCTGAAAATGTGGGACTGGTGAAGGAATGTAATGATAACTCGATGAGAGCTTTTACATACAGCAGTAGAAAAACTTTCAAAGATTTTGCAGGTAAGCGTTTTAAGGCATCTAGTATCATTACAAAGCTGTGGCTAAAGATTATAATCAATTACACTGTTAAATCTTTAATGGTCTTTCTAGTCCTTGGAATTGTAGCAGTAAACAGAAGTTGGAAGAAAGAAATTCAGAGCATTAGTGAATTTATTATTTTTTTGTCCTTTCACGTGGCTTCTGTTTGTTTATTTCTTACTTTATGCTTTTGTGTATTCCAAAAAATTTCTGATTTAGTATGAAAAATTTCTGCTGAAAGTAAGAAAAAATAGTTGATTAACTTGAGTGCAGAATTACCAATCAATAGTATATGTTAACATTACTTAATCTCTTATTAATACTTGTGAGCCACTTTTGATGTTTATTGTATTATACCTAGCTGGACAAAATAGAAATATTTTGTTTTAGTATATTTATATATAAAACACAATTGAATAACACTATAGAGTCATTCAATGGAATTGGGGCATGGTTAGTGAAAAAAATAGTTACTTTTCCTCTTTTAATTTGAGGATGCACCAGCACAGAAACATTTCCCTTCAAATGTGCTACCTGCAAGGTGTTTAACCCTTCCCCAGTGTGGTATTGGCAGAACTCATTTTGTTCTCCAGTTAAGCACTGGAATTCTTGGTTAGTCTTGCTTATACGTCATGTGTCTGTTTCAGCATATCTTCAATATAAAAGGTACTTGGATCTGTCTGAACAAATAGTTTTTTTTGGAAGTTGAATTGTTTCTTTGTTGCCTGTTTATTCAACACTACAATCAAGAAGGCGTCAGTGTTGAATAATTTCTGCAGTATTATTTTTGTGGCTTTGCTTCACTGAAATTATAAAGCCTTGAGAAGTAACTTGTTTTCTTAGTTCACTTGGGTCATCAAAAATGCAGTGGCCAGTGTGTGCCACTTAGAGAAAATTTATTCCTAAGATATTTATTTTAAAAAGAAGAGGTTTTGTTATAATATGTTATTTGGCTGTAATTGTCATGTAATATACATGGATTTTTTTTTTCTGGTTCTGATCACTTTTGATAACAACTTGTTGCCATGGTTGTCTTACTGTGTCGCACGATTTCTTACCACCATCCTTTTTGTTTAGATGACAATCAGAATTTCCTTACAATGTCAGAATGTCAGTATATCATTAAACATGAACTTGAAAATTTGAGAGCTAAAGATGAAAAAATGATCCCTGGATATCCCCAGGCAAAGCTGTATCCAGGAAAATCAATTGGTAAGTAAGGCAGTTTGTCTGTAACTCGATGTCTTGACTTAGGGCTCTGTTCATAGCAGAAAAAACTTACTTTTCCTGCAATTAAAAGAAACTGTAAGGCATTAAATCACACTAATATTAATCAGCTTTGTTTTTTCAGAGTTCCACAGTGGTGGAACAAGGAGCAATGAATGTGCAGTGTAACAAGAGAAATTCCAAATAGATATTAGGGAAATGTTCTTTATAATTAGGGTAATCAAATATTGGAGAATTCTAGAGAGGTTGTGGAAAGTCTGTTCTGGGATATGTTTAGATCTTAACTGGACAAGCTCCTGAGCAGCCCGATTTAAGCTGAACCTGCTTTGAGCAGGAGGTTGGACCAGATGAATGCCAGAGGGTCATTACAACCTGAGACTGAGACTCTGGCCTTATGTTCTTTTCAGTTGGATAAATTTTAACATATATTGATGTCATCCATAATTTTTATAATGCGTACCCAAAATATTTGCCTTTAAAAAACAAACACCACCACCAAACTATTTTTAACAGAAGCTGTAAGGGAAGGCCACAAGATGTCATCAAAGTAAGCATGTTCCCATTAATGAATAAGTAAGTTATCAGTGGTTCAAGAAATGTAACTAAACATATATGCTAGATGAGTTTACACTGGTTATTTTTTATATAGCTAATGTGTTTTTCTGCTTATATCAAGTGGATGTCTACGAGAAAAGGGAAAAACTAATGCATAACTTTAGTGCAGTTCCAGTGCACCCATACAAAAGAAAAATGATGTTCCTTTCAATATTTCTCAATTATTTGCTTACTTGTAATTTCCTGAGCAGTTTGCTAATGGTTTACCAACACAGGTAGATTGCTTTCCATAACAGAAATTAAATACAAAATTGTTAAATAAGTGGTTTGTTTGCAATGAGGTGTGTTGTGTTTTATTAATTAGTATAAATTGATCATTCAAAAATGTTTTTGGTTTTTTTTGTATCTTTCCCATAGAATTAAAATGGCTTCTTAGACATTCTCTTATTTTTGTATTTTTATTTGACTTGTTATGCTTTTTGTTGCTCAAATGCAGCACGTAGACCTCTTCTGCACAAAGCTACACATAGCATTTCAGTTCTGACCTGTAATGCTTCTTGTTGCTCAAGCAGCAATTGGTAATAACTGCAAACTGATGGATTACTCTTTCTCTTCCAGTGGACAGCACAGTCTTTGTAGGAATAGTTAGAATGCATTCTCTCTATTTTAGATTATTGTCAGCTAACATGGAGGTGTATTTTACTTAGCTCAAATGTTAGATTTATTTCAAAGGAACTCTAGGTTTGATAAGCACATAACGTAACCCATTTGTTCATATTAACTTTGTTGTCTTTGGAAAGAGTACTAGAACTTCTTTTTCCTTCTAGTGAGAAGATTGTTGACCAATGGTATTCTAGTTCAGATTTTCCCGCTGCATGACAGAGAAGAGTTGAAAAAGCTTCGGCATACGTGGTATGGACAAGTCAAAATTGGCTATCAACCTCTAGGTATGTGAACATCCCCTCTGCTACAAATGAAGTGCAGGGTTTCTTTTGAAGAAATTTTCTCCTCAGTTTGTGTGAAAATACCAAAGGTCCTTATCCACTTCTATTCCAGCATTTAGCCTCTGTAGAAATGATAATTGTGTGTGAAACTTAAGCACTGTACCAAGAAGTCAGTTGTTTCACTAACAGTTTATGCCTTGTCACCTCCCCAGTTACTTGCTACAGTTCACCTCTTTATTGCCTTTCTGCCCAAGTTGCTTTGTTGGCCATTGTAAACTGAAGTCCTTGTTTTACCTCAACTTGCTGTTACTGATGTTGGAACCAACAAGGCACTTAGGTTCTGGGTACGAAGCCATGTACAGTTTTGGACTTGCTGACATGCACAATTGATGTCTCTTCATCAAATCCTCCTTGATTCAAAGATAGCTGTAGGATAATCTTTTGCTATAACAACTAGCATTGCAACTTTTCTGGAGTGAAGCTGGAGCCCGAGAGGACATGCAGGCTGCTGTCTCTTGATTCTTAATGATTTTATTTCTTGTGGCTGCAGGAGGTCTGTGCCATATAGGCCTTCGGTCATAGTTTACAAGCTGGAGGGGAGGAGAGAAAGCAGGCAGTTCAAAGGCACTGTGATCATCTCTCACAGCACTGAGTTTGAAATTGGCCCATTTTTACTGGTTGGGCAGGTTTTTTCCTCTTTCAGCGTTCCCTGAGTAGCTCCCTGAAGCAGTTCATGACTTGTGAAATTGGTGGCTTAGTGCCTACAGGTTCAGTGTCATTAAGCTTCCATCTTAGCAACAGTCTGCATACGACAAAATCTCCCTAGCCATCTCAAAGCAGTAAGGGACCAACCCAAAGCTGTTCTCTCAAACTGACTCGTGGCAGGAAGGCTCCTCAAAGCCTGAGATTCCTGAAGCTATTTTGATTTGTAGGCATGTCAAAAGTGTGTTTACAATTGCTTGATTTAAATTCATTGTCAGTATGAAGACTGTATGCTGTTGTTTGCCAGATTCACTTGAGCGTATTTTATACACTGAATAAGTTTTAAATGAAAATATTTATTAATCTCTTGGTCTGGCAGTTTCTTGAGATTCTTTCCTAAACTATAGAAAGTTAAGGATCTGTCTTGATAATGCCTGCCTCCGGGCTATGGTGTTAGAGGGTTTTTTTTTCTGTGCTTGTCTCTTGTTTATACAGGACGGGTTCTTCTTGACTGACATTAAATACACACAACATTTACAAGTAAATCCCATGAACTATATGGGATATGGTTATATATATACACTAGTTTAGGCATCCCTTTCATGTTGTGCATTTTGAGTCTGAAATGATGCTAATGGTCTGCACTTGAGCTCATTTGATAATAATTTTTTGATTGAGAGCAACTTTGGAGCAGTGATTTGGATTCTGTTTGTTTGCCTTTCCCTCTGGCTTTCAGAAGCTTATCTGATGGTAAGCTATAAATTTCCACTGCAGTTTTCTGTAAACTGTATGCTGTAAGAATATTCTGGCATTGCATGCGAGCTTTTGATGTACTAGTCTTTTATGGAGAGTGCACGTACAGTGTCAGTTCAGAGGCAATGATGTCATGGTTCTTTTATTATGCTGGTGAGTACATAGCAGCAGCATGCAAGCATAAAGGATCTGGTCTTCCGAGGAGACAGAGATAAGACAGATTTCAGCATTCTAAACTTGGTTTGCTAGGCATTTCTATATGTTATTATGTGATGCCGTTTATAAATTATGATCGATAATACTACTCCATTTTTTTGTTAGCAGTAAGTTCAGTGTTTTCCTTGGAGGTAATGTGTCTGTCATGAAATATATCCATTACTACCACACTTCCCAAGTCTTTAGAACACTTGAGCAGGCAACCTCAGTGAGAACAACAATTGTGCATTTCATTTATCAGTTGTCTGCTGAAAGGAGTGTCTCAGCCTGGTTGCACCTTCTGATGTGTTTAAGATTTCAATATGCCTTTCTATCTATTCCTTTAGTTCCTTGAGGTCTGGCAAAGCACAACTAGTTCTTTTGATGCTGAGCAGACTGAAGTAAATTTGGTTCTCAGGCCTGCGTATGCCAGTGAGAAGCTTCAGAAGTCAGGTGTCACATACTTTTTTTATACCAAGTGACTTCTGTGCCATCCTAGCCATTCATTTATGGATTCTGGTTTTAAGAATATTAGCGTTTCTTTTCCCCTGGATAACCAGTGTTGATACTGTAGGTATTGAGATATTCGACTTCCCTACTGTCTGAATAAATGTAGCTATGTGTGTATATTTAGATATGTCTGTGTTTATGTAAGACAAATAATGTTCAAAGTCTTTGGGATATGGGAGGAGGAGGAACAAAACAGCCATAATGTTTGTTGTGTTATTTAGAAAACTGAAACTTGGGCCAAGGAATTCATGTAAAGTCAGGTTTGATATTATACTGACATGTATGTTAAGTGTCTTAATTGATTCATTTTCCTCTGCAGATGAGATACGCTGCTACTTTGGTGAGACCATTGCACTCTACTTCGGCTTCTTAGAGTACTTCACGTTTGCGTTGATTCCCATGGCTGTCATTGGGATCCCTTACTACGTGTTTGCGTGGGAAGACTATGACAAATACGTGATGTTTGCCACATTCAATCTGCTCTGGTCCACTGTGATCCTGGAAGTTTGGAAACGGATTTGTGCTGTGATGACATACCGCTGGGGGACCCTGTTGATGAAACGACAGTTTGAAGAGCCAAGACCAGGTTTCCACGGTGTTCTGGGTATCAATCCTGTCACTGGGCGAGAGGAACCAGTGTACTCAAGTATTAAGAGACAGTTACGGATTTATCTCGTGTCCGTACCATTTGTGTGCCTTTGCCTCTACTTCTCACTATACGTGATGATGATTTACTTTGACTTAGAACAGTGGGCTCTGGATTATCATGAGGAGAATAAGTCCCACTTTAGCAGCCTGATGCTGTATGTGCCCAGTATCATATACGCTGTCGTGATTGAAATTATGAACCGTATCTATCGGTATGCTGCTGAATTCTTAACATCATGGGGTAAGAAAGTTGCTTATATTCTTCCTTTTGCATTGGAAGTGAGAATTCCAAATGTTTAGGACTTTACTGTTACAACTTACTTGCAACTGTTAAAGAGCTGGCCATTCTAGATTGTTAAATTTATTTAGTGTTATGAGACTGCAGTTTCATGTTTGTTTTAATTTGCTTGACATCAAAAGGAATGACCCTGCCTTCCTCTTCAGCTTCTCTCTGACTTCGGTGCAAAAGCCCCCCTCTCTGATTTAGCTCTTTCTTTGGCTATATTAGCCATAGTGTTGGCAAAAGTGAAGAGGTGAGATTGTCAGGACAGGAGCTCAGAGGCAGATGGCAGGAGAAACTGTCCTGGAATCTTTAATCCACAACCTGATGTTGTGCAGAGGACAAGGGCGCTAAGATAATAGAACAAAATCTAAAAACACCAACTAAATTGTCTGAAGAGAATGTTTGCATATATTTTATACATGTACTAAAATAAATTTATATACATTTATATAAAAAATAGAGGCTGAGATTTCATGTCTCTATCAAAATATTTTCCTCTGGACACTCTAACAAGAGAGTGAATAGGATGAAATGCTCCTGGGGCCGCCCTACCTCCACTTTCACCTGGCATATTTTCAGCTGAGATCTTATTTAAGCAGCTGAGGCATAGGTAACAATCCAGGCATGGAAGTTGGTGACCAGAGAAGTTGCAGGGTCTATGCATTGTGTCACAGCTGCTACTGAAGAAATGTTTGTAGAACCTCTGACCTGGAGTTGAAAGTCCAGGGTGTTTCTGAGCACACCTTTTACACCCATTTATCATGAGAACTAATAATTAAGTGAAAGCTAAAGTAAAAATCCTGTTAAGTCCCTTGAGTGCATCTTCCATTTGTCAGGCCCAATTTCATTCCTGCTGTTCTGTCCTTAACAAGGTCCATCGGTGACAGTCTCTCAATTTAGCTGTGTTGAGACAGCTCCTGCTAATGTGTTGCCTCCTCATTTATTTACTGCTTATCCAGGACTGTAAAGATATTATCTGACAAAACAGCAAAAAGAAATGGAAAATCTCCCATTCACTTCCCTTTCCTTCCCACTTAACCACCCTTCCGCTAACATCAGCTTTTGTCAGATTATCCTGAATGAACTGAAAAATCTTCACTTTAGAATTAGTAATGCATCTGTTGAAATTTTTGTACTTTAGACTTGATTTAGAGCTTAAGGTCTGATCTAAAGTCCCTGGAGATGGGTATGGATATTTCTGTGAGCTTTTACAGGTTTTAAATCAGATGCAGTGCTATTTTTCATAATGTACTCCAATTAGTTTTGAATTTTATTTCAGCCAAAGAAAAGTCACGAACTAGTTACATTTTATTAAATGTTAAGAAAAATGGATGTTTTTTTTTTTCTGTTACAAAACAGCTCTACTGAGAAAGAAAGATACTGCAAAAGGTAAAACCTTTGCAGTAGGAAAAATACTAGAGTTGTAGCCAAAAATATGTATGTCAACACTCTGCATCAGCTTGGCTTGATAATTTAAATGAGGAACTGGTACAATATAAATTGTTTTCCCATAAAACTTTGGAGAAACTATTCCCCTTATATAATTACTTATATAATTTCTACTTGGAGGAAAAAATACCTGTTTACATTTGTATAACAGTGTCTAGCATATGGTATGTGCTTCTGCTGTTTACTAATGAATAATTTTGCTAATGTTTTTAGAAAATCACAGGCTGGAGTCTTCGTATCAGAATCACTTAATCCTGAAGGTTCTAGTGGTAAGTAGGTATTGTAAGGAGTTATTTAAAAAGAGAACTGTTTTTTTTATTAGCACTTTCCTAACATTCCCAGCCTGATTTACGGTTTTGTTCAGATATTTGCATAAATATCTCAGTAAATCAGAGGATTTCTGTTGTGGTTACAGTAACCTCTAGACTGTCCTAGATGTCCTGTTTTACAGTGGAGAGTTGGGTTTTTATTTATATTGATTGTGTGTTTATTAGGATACCAGATACATGAGTTTGTTGTAATTGATATGGTTCTGGCTTCAACTGGGAACTATATATTTTTTTTCAAGATTCTATGGTAAATGGCATTTTAAAAAGTTCATGCATCAACTTCCATCTGTACTAACATTCAGCCAACCAGTCAGAGGAGACTGGTATACACGTCTGTCATTCTGCTTACATACAGCTTACAGTATATACTGATATATTTACTTTTTGTCTCTGAACAAATTGCTTTTGTGTGTGTGTCTGTATATACTATAAACTGCATAGGAGCAGATTATGTACATAACCAAATGCAATATTGACTCTAAGGAACTGTATTGTAAATCTGGAGAGAAGTTTTATTCTTCTTCAGCACTTGATTAGGATTTTTCAGGTACAATACTGTGACTTATTTCTCATTTTAGAAGTAGGGTATATTTTTCTTGGTCATAAAACTTCTTGAAGTGGTTAAACAAAAAGCTTAATTAACATATATTGAGGAACAGTTTACATATTTAGAGAGAAGTCATTTGACACATGTATTTGGTTGAAGTGTTTTTTGGGAAAAGTCATCAGTCTAAAGTAAGATCAAGGTGTCCCTTCCATAGCATTACCTGTGAGAAAGTGCCATGTTACAAAAGTTAGGTAGAAGATGACAGGTATTTCTAATGTTCACATTTCATAATTTAAATGTATTTATCTTTGCATACCATGCTTTAGGAAAGCATTAAGCTTATCTAATGAAAATCTGAATAGGATCAATACTGAAAATTATTGTTTCTGACCTAAATTCTAAAAATGGTAAAGCAATTTATTTTCATAGACAGCTTTTATCTACATGGAAGCTATTTAGTCAAAGTAACTTTTAGATGATACTTTGTGTTTTTTCTCAGGACGTGAATTTCTGCTTGTGTAATAATAACAAATATTTTTATTTGCAGTTCAACTTCTTAAATTGTTTTGCATCTCTCTTCTACATTGCTTTTGTGCTGTTTGATATGAAACTTTTGAGACAGGTGAGTTCCAAAAACATCTAAGAACAATGATGCATCTAGGAAAATAAAGGATAGATTGAAATAGGACCTAGTTTTTAAGTTGTTTTTCTAAATATATGTGTATGTATAGTCATTGTCAAATTTAAATTTTTTTACAAATACAGCTTCCATATTTAATCTGCTCTTGCATGATTACAGAACCATAACAGAGTAACGTAGAACAATTCTCTCCCTCCTTATAAATCATAGAATCATAGAATATCCTGAGTTGGAAGGGACCCTTAAGGATCATCAAGTCCAACTCTTGACACCGCACAGGTCTACCCAAAAGTTCAAACCATGTGACTATGAGTAACTGTTTTTAAAATAAATTGATTGCTCCCTCATGCAGATGATGCTGGAGAAATTTCTGTTCCCCTTCCTTTCCTTCATGTTAAAAAAGTGTTGTTCTTTGTAGTGTTTGCACTGAGAGATTCCTGAGGATAGGAGAATGATTAAGTTTGACTGCAATGAGGAATTAAGGATAAAGAAAAGCAAAAATAATTTGTGGTAGTTAGTTTAAATCATCTCTTGAATTAAAATACATGAAAAGTAGGTAGAAGGAAAATATTTTTATTCTAAAAATATGAATAAAATAAGAACTTAAACTCTAGATCTCTGTTTCTGTAAAAAGATCTCTAGCAAAATACCTGTTATGTCCTTAGCTGACATGACATTCATGGTATTTCTTGTAATTTAAAGTCTTTTCTTCTTGCTTTTTGCCTTAAAAAGTAGAAGTTGTTTTAAGCTTTTGTTTTGTATGTCCCACAGATCATCCTTTCCCTCCAAGAAACCTTAAAAACTTTTTCTTTTTTTACTTCTAATAGAACTGTCAGTCTTTTAAAAGAAAAGAACTATTCCATGGATTGTGCTGTCTAAGCCTGTTTTCTCGTTGTTTTTCCTTTCATACTGGAGGTTTCTGAGCCTTTTGGAATTGCTAATAATCCTATTTTCCCCACTTATTTTCTAAAGCTCTAGAATGTTTATTCCTTTGACCGAAGAAACTTAATTTGTCTTCCTTTAAAGTTATTTGCTTAGCTCTGTTATTAATAAATGGTGTGTGTTAAGTGTGGATCTTTACCCTTCATTGGACTTTCTATACTGTTTCCAAGATACTTACACCAAGATCCGCAAAATATTTACTCATCTAAGTCCTATTCAGTTATTTTCAGTATGTGACCAAGAATGGGACCTAGAGCAGCTATACTTTTCATTTGCTATTGCTAGTTTTGTTATGCTAGCCTGCTTCTGTCATAGTATAACAACTTGCAGTGTTACTGGAACACACAAAATTGGAAATTATCATAGGTTTATTACAGATCTATTAATTTTTATTTTATTTTATTTTTTTTTACTTAAGAGCTTGGCCACTTTGCTGATAACTTCGCAGATACTTAACCAGTTTGCAGAATCTCTGCTTCCTTACTGGCTCCAAAAGAGACACATGAAGAAGATGAAGGAACGCATGCATTCTCTGAAGATGGATACAGACCTGTCATTAGTCGAACAAGTCAACTCGGAAAAAGAAATGGGCACCTATTTGGTACGTTGAATGAATGTTGTTAGAATACGTAATTTTTTAGATTATAGGCTGCTGAAAAGCAGCCTCAGGTTAATTGTTAGCTGCAGCATGGCACGTTAGAGCAGAAATAACTGTTTTAATTTAAGAGGTTTGAATACAAGGTAAGAACAGTTTGGGCCTTGGGTGGTAGTCATAACGTGCTCTTTAGAAACAAAGAGAGAACAGAGTAAGGAATTGCTTGATTCTCATTATAAAGTCTGATAGCAATTTTTGCTTTTGAAACATTAGATCATGTTCTGTCAGTTCCTTAGGGTAAGCTACTCTTAGAGACTCCCTAGTGCCCATATTCTCTCTTGCAAGTGAAAGCTTGGTGTCTTTTCATGAGTGGGACCTTGTGACTCTTGATACTTACTGACTTGATCTCTTTGTTATATCCTCCAAATGCAACTTGTGTTGCTTACCAGGCACAGCAAGTTAGGGAAGAGAGAGTTTCCTTCCTATAATACGTGAGCATTTACACACTTGCACAAAAGGAAATACATTCTGCTCTACTAAGCAGTATACACTAGTTTACTAAGAGGTGTACACTAGCTGGGACAGTCTATTAAAATAGAGATCCATATTCCTATCTGTGGCACTACCCACCATTCTCAATGTAAAGATTACATAGTCATCTTATTCTTCTGTTGGAGACTAGGGGTATATTTTTTTGTATGCATTTTTGGGTGGCAGTTCTAGTTTAGACATTCCCTTCATTTAGCTTTCACTCCTTTGCTTATGCTGTCTGTTGCTTGTGCTAAACTATTCTTGCAGAGGTGTAGCGAATCAGGTCAGGGAACTGATCCAGCTGTAAAATAACTGCCAAAATAAGCCAGCTGTTTCTACTGTGGGGGTGAGAACATACGAGTGTGAAGGTCATAATGGAAAGGAATGGGGACTGTTTAAAATTGTATTATAATTGAGGATGGTGGGAGGACAGATGTGTAACCATTCCCTAAGTTACAGCATGTCCATAGCAGAGGCATACCTGATACCTTTCATCGCGCTTAAAGTAGTCATCATATCCTTTTTCTAACATTTGTTATTTTTTTGAGTTATTTTTTGTATTAATAGTTTTGGTTTTCATTCTGTTAGCTGCCTCTGCTTCTGTTTAACATGGTGTAGAGATTTCTTGTTCTTCAGAGCCTGTTCACACTTTCTGGCTTTGTCCTAGAAATGTTTCTAGTGGCACAGTTGAGGCTGCAGTCCTGGAACATCCCCAACTGCTATATTTGCTGTCTTCTGTATTTCTCTCCTATTCTTGATCCCAGCTATATTTCTGGCCATCTCTTGTGCTGGACTTAGCAGTCACCTTAATGTTCACAAAGACAACAGAAAACAACTAGGAAAGAGTTAAAAGTTTTCTGGGCTGTAGCTGATGTTGACATCAGGCAATGCAACCTAAATATTTCTCGCTGGTTGGCCCAGCAAGTTATTTCCAGCTTCCTCAGTTTTGCTGGTGCTGTTGTTTATGCATCTACATGGTCCCAGTTACATCAGCACAAAGGGGTGGGAGTGAACAGCTGTATCGGGAGCTACTTAAACCAGTATTATTGCTGAAAGAGGTACGTATGTAACAGGCCCCTAATCTCTAAGGCACAAGGAGGAGCAGTGTGACATGGGGAAAGGATGGCAAGAGAGGGTGGTTCTGTTTCCGTTTTAGTTTGGCTTTGCACTTAGGCTACTTAAAACTGCCAATTAAATTAAATTTCTGGGGCCAGAAATGGAAGCAGGTAGAAAAGACCAACCCTTTAGTCCAGTACTACTGCTGGAAGTTCTTGCTTATTGAAAATACAGCTTTGGCATTTGTAGTCTGTCCTCCTAGTTTGGTTCATGATGGCCTCCGTCCGATTCAGCTCATGGCAAACAAGGCAGCCTCAGATTGTCACTGGTTTCCCTTAGTGGTTTTAAGACTTAGCAGTTTTAAGTTCAGTTTCCTCCTCGTTACTATCTGCAAAATTTTAAGATATATTTGTATTGCCTTATCAGCACTGGTAAGTTTTCTTGGAATATTATGATCCCCACTACACTTTTTGAGTTAAATTTGTTTTATTGCATTTCACAGACTTGGTGTGGTTCATTACTTGGTGTTCTAAAGGAGTTGACAAAATAAACATTAGTGTGTATGTTAAGGCCTCACAGATTGGCTCACAACTTGCTTGATCAGCTGCTGCAAGCATAGTCACGAGAGCCTTAATGCTGTGTGGCTTATATTTTTACAGAGCAAGAATTATAAGTAGATCATGTAACTTTTATGTAAACAGTAGAGAACAGCAGAGTTTGAAATCTGTTTTCAAATGTGGGAGTGCAGTGAAATGGGAAGTGGAAAAAGAAATCTTTGCAGTTGAAGAACTATACAAACAGTCCTTTGGGAGTGTTGGTATTTCTGAATTTATATGGGGGGATGGATTTGGAGATGGAGAGCGTGTCTGTCTTACAATGGAGAACACAGCAGAAATCCCTAAGGTAGTGATTTGAACAGGTAGATAGTACAGTCCAGCACTATGCCTGCAGATAATATGCGAGCACAGGTCCAAAGGCCATGAATGGCACCAGGCGTTGATATGCATGAACAAATAAGCTCTATCTCCTGTCCCAGAACCAACTCCTTGTTCTGAGCTGGCAAATACAAAGCTGGTGTGGTGGTTTTGAGTCACATTGTCCAGTGCTTCTTGTGCAGAGCTGCATCTGCACTTGTTATGCTTGGAATAATTTTCCGAGGGGACACAATAGGTCAATTGCAGAATTATCACTTTGCCTTGGGAATGTCTACTTGTAGCCTCAGTTTCAGTTCAAGGCACCGTGTATTCAAAACTTTAAATTTTATTTTCAATCTAAATATTTCAATTGTACTATACTTGTGAATAAACAAGCACTAGACCACTGGTTTGTTTGCATGTGTTGAGCTGTCAGCAGGCAACAGTACTTCTAAAATTATGTCTGTCACAAGGGGGAAGCATTTGACTATGTTTAGTAACAGAGGGGCTTAGAAGTGTTGACAGAATGCTGTATTTCAGGCTCTTCACCTTTCTTTTCCTTCTTTCACTTACTCTTTAATGTTTAATTTTAATTTTTATGTTTGTTTCCTCCCCCTCAAATCTCTTGAGACCTTAACCTGGTTTAAAATGTAAAAGCTTCATTCTGCAGTCTTTTTTTTTTTTTTCCTGCTTCTCTCCTCTAGTTCATTTTTATCCCGAATTTCTTTGTTGATTCTGTTACCTTGATGCCATATTTTGTGCTGCTCCTGTGGTTGGGAGAAGGAGAGAATGGAAGGTTGATAATAGCACAGTTTGAAATTTGTCTATGACATTGGATCAGACTTCTCTTTTCCTGCATAAAGTGTCATAAATTAAATAGGAGGAAAATACTCTTTTTTTTTTTTCCATGCTCTGCTGTTTTGATAGTCAATGGGTACTGGGCAAGGAAATGAGAAGGGAGCATGAGGAAGCAGAGGGGATATCATGCAGTTACAAGGAAGAGGACTGTAAAGGGAATCACTGGTCTGCACCCTGACTGCAACGCTTAACTGGGAAACTGATAGCAGGGACAAATAAATACATGACCGCCACTCCGGTGAGTGATGCTGCCCAAGTGTCCCTCACAAAGACTTCACTAAAATTCAGAGTTCATCCATGAAATTTGTGAAAAAATCTCAATAATTTTAAGTTATGTAGCTCCTCAAGGTCTAGCCTGCACATCAGACCACTGGACCCAGCTGTACTGTGTGGTTTGAAAATGAGCTTGAGTGAGGAATGTAGGTAATGACTGGTTCATGTTGATTTCTGAGCTTGCAGGCTGCTAATGCATCTCTGCTGGAAGAAGATCTCTAGGTGCTAGAGGTGGCATTCAGTTTAATTATCATCAGCAAAAAGATTAGAGAATCGTGTGTTTGCATGGAGACAAAACTAATTTTATATTTCTTGTAATAATCTGTTACTGTCAAGCCCTTATTTTGAATATTTTAAGGGAAAGGAAAATAGCCATATGCCAATTTAGGTAGTTAATGATATTTCACTATCCTTTGTTCAATGAACAAACTGAACAGAATCCTTTTTAGAGATCAGTTGGTTTTGTTATTCATTTTTATAAATTATTGATGCAATCACAGAAAGCCATTATTGATACAACAAAACTAGTATGTAAATGTGTATAATAACCTACATGTGACTACTTAGCATTTAAGTACCCACATTCTTGATTCAAAAATCAGGTGATAGATGCATTGCAAATTTGCCGCAATAGGGCTTCTTGTTTGCATTAATTGTTCCTTTCAGATGTCAGTGCTACATCCTGTCATTTCAGCCTTTAAATAGGCAATTATTTCAGACCTACTCATTTTAAAATAGATAAACAATACTAGTGAAGAGTTGCTTATTTAATAACCTGTGTTTCTGGTTAGGTCTTTCATGAGCAGGCTGAAATACTAGGACATTTCTCGTCACAATGCTCTTACTAAAAATGTTCTGCCAGTTTAAATGCATGATGCTGTTTTCCTATCCAGTGCTGTTGCTTCAGTATCTGTTTCTCTGAGATAGTCAGGACTGTAAATAGGGTGAAACTGTTTATACAGTTAATTCGCATGCTTCACATAAGGGTAAGTAGTGTTACCATTGCAGAAACTGCATTAGGCAAGAGAAAAATCCTTGGCGTTCCCTCATCAAGAATTTTGAGTAATTAAGTATTTTCAAATTAACTAGAGGATTTTTGTTCGTTCATTTGTTTTGTACTGACAGATATACCCAAACTACCTATTTAGCATGAGGAAGCATTTTTACAGTTGTATTGCTAATTCTGCTTTCATATTTTTTTTTGTGGGTAAAAGTTGTTGTTTTTGCTCTGTTTTTCAGGGTACTTTTGATGATTACTTGGAGTTGTTTTTACAGTTTGGCTATGTGAGTCTCTTCTCATGTGTTTATCCACTGGCAGCTGTCTTTGCAGTGTTAAACAACATCACAGAGATATATTCTGATGCCTTAAAAATGTGCAGAGTTTACAAGCGCCCATTTGCAGAACCCACAGCAAATATTGGTGTTTGGCAGGTAATCTTTCTGTTTCCTTTTTAATCATGTATTTTAAATGAAGTTCACCAAATTTATTTAAGCTGTGTTTGATCATCAGCCACTTCTGAAGTTTAATAAATATTTTGTCATCTTCAGTGCCTTAGGATACTATTGAACTGTGTTGCATTTTGTAGGGTTTTCAACCACATGTTATTTTCAGTCGCCTTTGAAAAGAAAAGAAATCCTATCATTAGTCCCTGTGTGTGCGTGTGTGTATGTTGTAGTCCTGTTGCAATTCCAACAAAGCAAAGCTGCCAGATCTGATGCTCTACAGCAAATGTTTTTCAAAAATATTAACATCTGGTGCAATCTCAGAAGCATGTAGCTCATCCCATGCAGTTTGAGAAAATTGAGGAATGATAGGTAAGTACTTGGATTCCTGAGCCACGCTTGTCTATGCGCTCTTGTGGGTACTGGTGCTCAGGCCTGACTGATTTTAAAATTTCTTAGATCTGCGTGCAGGAGCAGTACTTTCCTGTACAGGTGTACTCTATTTTAACAAATTAATTACAGTAGTTCTTGGGTTAAGAATTTTCTGTCCTCAGTTGTTTAGCCATACAATTTTGCTAGCACCAGCTAGTTTGGGGCCTGCCAAGTTGAGTACATCCATGAACTGATTCTAACTAAAAATAGCCCTGCAGAACTCCTCCAAAACCAGAGGTGTTTCTGATAAAAAGGAAGGATATTTAGTCGTATCCAGAGACATTGGCTGTAACAGCAGTGGCCTGATGAGTGTGAAATAAGCTGGAGGAAATGTCTAGGGGATGATCTGTGGTTTAGTGTTGTTCAAGATTTCTGATAATACATAGTAAAGATGAAGGGTGCGATAAACTAATAGATAGTTTAAGTTAGAGATACTGTAAATGTTGAAACAAATGGAAGATGAGAGATGAAATCGGGAAACATTGAATGAAATGTACTGTGAAAATATGCAAGCCAACTATTCTGAGCAGTGTTTGTTAAACATGTACACAGAGAATAATGAAGTGAAATTATAGCAAAAGTCTTATAATACTAAGTCATAAAAATGTAGTTTGTAATCTGATAGTGTTGTAACATTTAATGCATTTTCACAGTCCAGTTCTGTGCTGCCAACGTCTTGATGGCATTGACCCAGAGGTGTGACCACCAGTTAAATGAGGCTATGGTCATTAAGTCCCAAGCATAGCTGCAGGTATAGCATTTAGTTTTGCTAGAATAGCTTGTTTCAGCCTAGCAAATAGGCTGAGAAATTCCAACGCTAATGCTACAGTCATGAGCTTTATTTTTTGGTAGTATAGTTTTTTAAGCAATAGTAGAAATGCAATTGCTTTGTGAATGAAAAAAAATGACTTAAGTTTTAGTCATCTGTTTTATGTGGGAAGTTAGAGCATTGGCTGACAGATATCTGTTAAAGAAAAACTGGAATTATTTTGTCAGGTGAGCTGAACCAGCAGCTTGTTGTCAAAGAGAAAGTTATTGCTGCTAATTCATTGTGACAATGCTACATTTCAGTATCAGTCTTGCTCGTTCCAGAGAGGGCCTTGCAATAAGTAGCCATTATATTGCAAAAGTAATTGTCATGCTGTAGTAATATTTTCAGACGTTTTGTGGGAGCTCTGTTGGCAAGAGCTTCTCAGCCTTATGCAACTGCATGTGTTTAAATGTAAATCTTTCTTTCAACAAATTTCAGCTCGTATAACTGGTTGTGATTTAAGAAAGCTATTCTGAACCATCCTTACATTTTCTCATTACTTAACTTTCAGAAGAAACAAAAACAGAATGCTGGGACAATAGTTCCTCCAGGAGTTTTGTTGTCTTTTCCTTTATCTCAAAAGAAATACAGTATTAGGAATGTAACCGTAGATGAATTCACCATCTTTCATGTGCTCAGATTATGAGTTGTGAAGATACCAAGGATTAGGTTGTTTTCCTGACCACTACTTTTTTTGAGGATTATTCTGATTTGTATCAGATTATTTGGCATTATCGACATCTGGGATGTTAGCAGTCTTCAAATAATTTCTTGATGTCTTTACAGTACTATGGTGTTGTGGGAGAATGCTGCTTAACTTCTTCGCAGAAAATACACATACACACATAGAGATGTGAAATTAGAGAAATATTCAGGGCTGCGAGGTGGGCTTTGTGGTACTGCAGGCCTTGTTGTGGTCTTACTGTTGCCTGCTTTTACAGCAGACAAAGTCTAGTTGAATTGCCAAAAAAAAGTTCTATATTATAGAAATCAAAAGATGAAGGAAAAAAAACACAACACGAAAAAATGGGTCTTCTGAGCATTTAATGAAGAGAGAGCAAATATCTAGCGCAGTTTAGAGACTGGTAAATTAGAGATAATGGCCATAACTATGAATATATTTGTGTTTTATTTCAGTTGGCTTTTGAAACCATGAGTGTAATATCGGTAGTTACTAATTGCATACTGATTGGAATGTCTCCACAAGTGAATGCCCTTTTCCCAGACTCAAAAATGGACCTCATTCTGACTGTGGCATTGGTAGAGGTAAGTCTGGCCTCAAGTAACATTCAAACATTTTAGTAGCAAACAACATGGACGACTGTAGAAATGATGCCAGGAAGATTTTCTTCCCTTATTTTAAAAGGATTTTAGCATTTTCCCAACCAAAGAATTGTTTCAAAATGTTGCTTTTTATTTTCTGTGTTTTCATGTATTGTGGATGATATGCCATGCTTTTTCTGTACATTCCCAAGATCCTGTTTATTTGTTGCTTCATGTCTTTAAAGAATTTAATAGTACTGTTTCAAGAAGCAAAATAACCTTATTTTTGTGAAATGGATGTTTCTCTACCTGGTTTGTGACTCCAGCATATTTATAAAAATGTCCTGCATCATCTTTATAAATGTTTCCCATAATGGCTGATCTGAAACAAGTATGTATGATGACTATATGTATGCTTATAATAACATTTGGGCTTCATCTTTTCCTAATTTTATGGAGTAAACAGTTGAGTGTCTTTCCTTTTCAGGCAAATGACTGGGCATTTTATATCATAAATTGTAGGAGTTTGTCCTTACGTCTCTTTCTGTTCCGGTTTTCTTGTATTGCATTGCTTCAACTTCAAAAAATTATGCTGTTTTAACTTTTAGGAATTCAATTATTTTTCTTGTGGCAAAAAATCTGTGTTGTTTATGTGTAGTTGTTCAACTGAAATGCTTTATAGAGGTGTAGCAGCAGCAGGTAGGTACTGCTGTGTTGTTCTTACAGGTGTTACAGGTTCTGCAATGATTTATGCGCTTGCTTGAAGTTTGCAGAGTTAACTCTAAATATGAATCACTTGTCAACTGGTTTACTGAAGTTTGAGTCTACAGACAACAAGACAGATTTTTTTTCTATCACGTGTGAACATCTGCATTAACCTCAGTGAAATATTTTAATGTAAAATTAATTTGGCAATTTAAATGCAACGTTATAATTAGTTCATTGCTGGATAATGTATCCAGAGGTCATATCAAAACTGTGTGACTAAATGTAAGCAGAGTGAAGTTTCAATGTCAGGCTGGCTATCTGGTATCTGGGCAGGCCTCTGTTTCTTGGTAGGTATAGGAGAACATAAAAGTATTTTTCCTTCCCCAGTTTAAATTCTGTTTATATGCAATCCTTTACCATGCTGCAATTCCTGTATGCTAACTTGGAAGCCCTTGGAATTCCTTTTTAACAGCGCATTGCAAACAAATTATCTATAAATCCTATGGAAATGAGGATTTTAAAAATGACTAAAGGAAAGGAAGAAAGTTTGGAGGGCAAAGGTAAATTAGTACTGAGGGGAGAAAAGACAAGAATGTTGTTTTATATCAAGAAGCAACTTTGACCAAGGCTATGAATCTAGAATTAACTACACTGTATGAAGGGGCAAGTAGAAACTAATGCTGGATGAGCCAGAGGAGAGGAAAGGCAGCTGTTTGGTTATAGAGCAGTCAACCTTTCTCTTAATTTTTCTGGTTAGTAAAAATAAGCCTCATTATGTACTTGTCAGAAAAGGTATAGTTAAAAAATAGCTTGAATCAAAAGTGTGCTTGATACTTGTATAAATACACTGTTATAATCTATCTACTGTTTCTGTGTTGTTATAAACTGTTTATTATCTGAGAAACAGAAGACAAAAAAATAAAACCAAACATAGAAGTCTTATAGTACCCTTTAAGGATGCATGTTTCTGCAGCATAACAAGCCATATGACTTTTGAAATATTGCTGCTTATAAACAATTACAAAACTCTTGAATGTGAAATTTAAAACTTCAGCAGTCTCCTGAGGGACAGACCTGTGGTGTATTTTAAACAATATTTAATACCTTCACAGGTTTCTTTTTGGGAGAATCAGAATAGCATGGGTCATATAATTTTGCAAGTTTTATAACATAAATTATGAAGTTTCTGTAGTCTAGAAGAGTTCTCCAAAGTGAAACACATTTATATATAGTTTTTATTTCACAAAGCCATATGAAAGTGATTACAAGAAGCATGGCTTCCACTTCTGTTGAAGACAGTTCCATTGTGGTGGCAGTTTTACATATTCTCAGTTACAGTATAGTATTCTTTTTTATCAGTAGTTATATTGTACATATTTCAGGTTAAAACACTGATTACAAAAGGTAGAGGAAGGGAAGATTAGTAGATGTTGTAGGACTGCAGCCAGTTTCAGCAGCAGCATGGATTTTTGGCAGCTTAAAGAGATGGGTCTATTTTTGCCTTCTTCCTGGGTATTTATTTCTATTTTATCTTTTACACTGGCACTTTCTTTTATCTGGTACACTGATGAATCAGATTAAGAAACTGATCTGGCAGAAGCTGTCTGACCCAGTTCACTGGTGAAAGGGAGAAGGGCAGAAACAACAGTGCGTGGAAGACAGGTTTGCCCTTTATAGTAGTGCTGCAGGTTTGTGCTGGATTAAATTGTAGAGCTTCAGCACCACAGCCTGTTCTTCCTTTAAGTACTGCTTCATGCCTAAACTAGGAGAGGAGCACAAGTGTCATGCATTTGCACTATTCCCATGCACCTTTACTAAGCTATATTAATGATTAAATTGTGCACTTTCAGAAAAAATGCAGGAACAGAGTACATCACTCTCAGCCTCTAATACAAACCTGGTTCATCTAAAGTGCGTCAGTGTCAAGGTAGGAAAAAAACCTGTCACATGTGCCAGGGTGTTGATAGAAGAACATTTCAGATCACCTAGTAGAGATTCTGCACAGAAACACAATACAGATGAGTTATTTTACTTTCTGGTGTTTGCTGCAGGTGGGTGTGAGAATTTGATGGTGTGTTTATGCTATGTTGACAATGGCTTGGCAGGTGGTGTGAAAATGTTAGGGAATAGAAGAAACTTAGCAAACTATATGTTCTTTCACATGTTCAGTTGATGGGGTAGCCTACTTCAGTCTTAGTTGTTGTTAAATATTTTAATCAGGTTTAAGTAATTGAGATTCTGTTTGAATATTTATACCTCTGATGCAAAGCGAGACAGAAAAAGGACTGATCTTACCAAAGCCAAGCATAAGTAGTAGTAGCAATGTCCAGATTTTTTATTTTTAATTTTTTTTTATTAAGTGCTTTGTAATGATGGTACTAATACTCTTTCAAATGGAAATGTGTTTATGTGGCAACGTCTGACACCGCTCACTACAGATCTAATGAAGAACATGTGGTATTCTTGTAAGCATTCCGTACCAAGCCCTTACAGATTTATGCAAAATAATTTTTCATTAACATCATTAAATCTACTGCTGCCTACACTCTTTGTGATAATACATGACCAAAGTAAGTGCTAATTAAATATAATAAAATATCATGCATTTCATAATAAATAATAGTAAGCATCAAAATAATAACATTTAATAATAATTCTGAAGTATTAAAACAGTGATTTTTTTTTCTGAACAGTTGACCTATTTTCATCAATCCAACATCTGCTTCCATGGCAACATGATTTTGAACCAGGAGCAGAATCATGAAACTCCCCTCCTTTACTTATGTGTGGGTACTAAATGAGTGAAGCAAGTGCTGTTTTCAAACAAAGAAGTAGGTGCATGTCCTTAAAGCAGCAAACAGCAAGCCCTCATTAATATCCTGTTGAAGTGATTATGTCCCATAGTTGGTTTAGTTCAGGCTCAGCTGTATATGCACACTTTTGTTGTGAACCACAGGTGCAAAGTTGAGCATTCTGAGCAAGCAAATGCCTGTGCTCATGTGAGACTGTTTCCAGTCACCTCTCTCTTCTTGCACTGATTTGAGGGAGGGGAAAAGATTCGTAAAGAAATATGGTGAATAGTCAGGGTTTAGGTTAACATATGATATAACCTTAATTCTGCAGTGCTTTTTGCTTTTTTTGTTTCAAAAATTGTTGGCACAGAACTTTGTTCTTGATAACGGTTTCTTTTTAATTTAGAATCTCATAAATTTGAAGGATGTTAATTAATTCGCTTTCAGTACTACTCTGAAAGCTGGGTTCCAGAGATCAGTTCCATGTACAACTCCTAGTTGTGTGTATATATATATATATATATATATATGTATATATATTTAATGGTCCATTGATAGAGGTGCTTTGAAGCAGTAGCTATAAATTACAGGTTTATATCAATGTATCCTGAACTCCAAAAGTAACTCGTGTATTTAGCACTCAAATGTAGTAAACTAATGGAAAACTTACAGGCAGAGGTACATGCAGTCTGGATGCTTTACATCACATAAAGGCATTAGCTTGGAAATGCTATGTAATAACAGAGGGCCCTTTTGATAGCTGTAGTATAAAACCTGATCTTACAGTCTACAAATAGAATCTACAAATGTGATTTTGGGAATAATGTATAATGCCATCAGGTCTCGTATAGATGAAAATGAGAACCCTAGCATAAGTACATGAATAGGGTATTTGTGACAAACATGGTTTAATAAACAGCCAGGCTATGTGAATTTGATTTCATGGAGTCCTCATAAAGTTTGAATTATTTGTTCATGAGCTTTGTGTGTGTGTCAGGTCTGTAAGAGGTAAGGAGTAGAATAAGAGAAGCAACCTGTTCTTAAGGTTTGTTTTTCTCAGTGAGGAAAAACCGACAGTCCATTTATCAAAGGGTTGAAAGCAGGAATCAGAGCTTGCTAATAAAGCAGAGAAGTTCGTGTTCTTTTTAAGAGTTATAGCTAATCCTAAATCAAAGTGGTTGAAGGGTGCCTCATACCTCAGCTATTCTCTAGCATTCAATTTTATTGTTTTTCTTCATCCTGGTGTACAGTAGAAGCTCTTTTGAGCACTCCTAATGTTACAGCCCCAACACTCAATCAGCCCAGCAGTAAACTTGGCAGTTGTTTCTGAAATAATATACCAAAGGATCTGGCAAACTCTATTAGAGCCAAGCAGTTTGGCTTGTAGAGAGTAGATGAAAAGGTATATTTATCATCTGGTTCTAGGTAGCATCGTTACCTGCTTTCAAGATAACCTTGGGAGTTATCAAACATTGCATCCTAGAGTGGAACTGAAAATATTTT